CGCAACCAGTCCAGCAGGGGCCAGGGCCACAGGACGGGATGCGATGCTGCGGGCGCTCGCTCTCATTTCTAGCAGCATGGCTCCGTGCTCGGCGCCGCCTTCTACCGCAGCTTCGGCGGTCTCTCTCGCGCGGCGCGCTTCTGCGGAGGCTGACCCAGGTGCGTAGGTTCGCCCACGCACGGGATCGGGCTCTGAACCCAGTGGCAATGCAACAAGCCCGAGTGTGAGGCCAGGAGCCTAGGGTCGAGTTGCTTTGCTGATGGTCAATCGCCTGTGCCGCGTGCCTCTCTTGCTTTGCTCAGTCGCGGCACGCTCGGTGCCTCCAGACTCTGTCGCGCGAGCGGAAGCTGAGCCAGGTGCACATGGGACCGGGCTCCGATGCCACCGGCGCTGCAACTGTCCTATTGGGGTCTGCCCTATGGAAGTGGTGCGACGCTGATGGCGAGGTGTTGTCCTGCGGCCGTCGCGCCCGACGCGCGCGTGCACTGCCTGGCTAAATCTGTTTGGCGCGAAGCGCAATATCATTTCAGCAGCGCGACCGTGCTGCGTGCTGCTCCTCACTGGCAGCATCAGGCTGCCCTTTTTCACTGCCGCGATGCGCGCCTTCCGTGCAGCTCTGCCCTGAGCGGTGGCTTCGGGGGCTGACCCAGGAGTGAAATTTGGCCCTCGCTCGGGATCGGGCCCCGCGCCATTGGCAATGCAACCGGCCCGCCTCAGTGGCCAGGGGCCGAAATGACGGGTTGCTCTGCTGATGGGAGGTGCAATGGAGCGCTAGTTTTCGCTTCGGCGTGCTAGCACGCCGTCCGTTCATTGTAGCTTCTGGCGCGCCGTGCGCGACAGCTGCCCACGCGTCTGTCGACGCGGAGGGCGACCCGAGAGCGTCGGTTCGCCCACGCTCTGGTTCGAACTCCGCAGGCCTGAAGAGCAACCGCGTCAGCCGTGCGCAGCAATGCTGTGTGCCAGCCCGCTTGACCGCGCAGCGTGGCCTCTGCCGGCTGCCGCGCGGGCTGAGTCGCTCTAACTGCTGGGATCGGTCATCCGCTTGCCTCGGCCGAGGCGCGGCCGCGGCGGCACGAGAACAGCCTGCTGCGCAGCCGCCGCCCCCGCCCCCGCCAGCCCCTCCACCGTGGCGGAGGCTCGACCCACGCGACTCCCACGAGCTATGGCGCGCAGGCAACCACCTCTTCTGCGTCAAGTGCGGCTACTGCACGCAGGGTGGCAGGATGGCAGGCTTGGCGAAGGAGTGCCCGAAGGCCCCCAAGAACGACAGGCATAAGGCGGTCCTCGGCCGTCTCAAGCGAGGGCTGCAGCCAGCGGGGCAGGGCAGCGCTGGTGACCCCGAGCCCTTACGCCGCATGCGCAGGCGGATGGGCGGCTAGCCAGCCTTGCCTATCTTGGGCCAGAACCATGTGCGCAGGTTCGCTCACGCACGGAATCGGGCCCGATGCCGATGGCACTGCAACAAGTCCAAGCGTGAGGCCTGGGCCATCAGGGTAGTTGCGCTGCTGCCGGCTAGGTCGCGTCGGCGTTGCTCGCAGTGTGCTTCTCACGTGTGCATGGCCTAGGCTCGGCGCGCGCGCTCAGTTGCTTGCAGCTTGCAGCGGAGGCGAAACCAAGTGTGTAGGTTCGCCCACACGCGGGATCGGGCTCCGATGCCAGCGGCGCCGCAACCAGTCCAGCAAGGGCCAGGGCCAAAGGACGGGATGCGATGCTGCGGGCACTCGCTCTCATTTCTAGCAACATGGCTCCGTGCTCGGTGCTGCCTTCTACCGCAATTTCGGCGGCCTCTCTCGCGCGGCGCGCTTCTGCGGAGGCTGACCCTGGTGCGTAGGTTCGCCCACGCACGGGATCGGCCTCTGAACCCAGTGGCGCTGCAACAAGTCCGAGTGTGAGGCCAGGAGCCTAGGGTCGAGTTGCTCTGCTGATGGTCAATCGCCTGTGCCGCGTGCCTCTCTTGCTGTGCTCAGCCGCGGCACGCTCGGTGCCTCCAGGCTCTGCCGCATGAGCTTCCGATAGGATCGGGCTCCGACGCCAACGGCGTTGCAACTGTCCTATTCGGGTTTGCCCTAGGGAAGTGTTGCGATGCTGGTGGCGAGGTGTTGTCCTGCGGACGTTGCGCCCGACGCGCGCGTGCACTGCCTGGCTAAATCTGTTTGGCGCGAAACGCAATTTCATTTCAGCAGCACGACCGCGCTGTGTGCTGCACCTCACTGGCATCATCCAACTGCCCTTTTCACTGCCGCGATGCGCGCCTTCCGTGCAGCTCTGCCCTGAGCGGTGGCTTCGGGGGCTGACCCAGGAGTAAAGGTTCGCCCTCACTCGGGATCGGGCTCCGCGCCATTGGCAATGCAACCGACCCGTTTCAGTGGCCAGGGGCCGAATTGACGGGTTGCTCTGCTGATGGGAGGTGCAGTGGAGCGCTAGTTTTCGCTTCGGCGTGCTAGCACGCCGTCCGTTCAATGTAGCTTCTGGCGCGCCGTGCGCGACAGCTGCCCACGCGTCTGTCGACGTGGAGGGCGACCCGAGAGCGTAGGTTCGCCCACGCTCTGGTTCGAACTCCGCAAGCCTGAAGAGCAACCGCGTCAGTCGGAGTGACCTGGAGCCTTGGACCTGGTTGCTTCTCAGGTGCGGTGTACAACAATGCTGTGTACCAGCCCGCTTGACCGCGCAGCGTGGCCTCTGCTAGCTGCCGTGCGGGCTGGGTCGCTCCGACTGCTGGGATCGGTCATCCGCTTGCCTCGGCTGAGGCGGCCGGTTGCGCTCGGCACTCGGACGAATCTGCGAGCGTGCGCCGAGGCGCACGTGACCGAGCGTTGCCGCCGCAGGGCCAAAGGGAAACGCCCCTGTCCGAGGTGCAGTACGAGCTAGGAGCTCCTGACTCCTTCAGACGCGGGGATCCTCATCATCATCATCATCATCATCATCATCATCATCATCATCATCATCATCATCATCATCATCATCATCACTGTCGCCATCGTCGTCGTCGTCGCCATCACAATCATCAACTACAACAGCCGCATCATCACCAGCATCAGCAACTTCATCATCATCAGCATCATTATCGTAATCAGCTTCATACACATCTTCAGGATCGTCGTCACCATCACCACCACCAATATCATCGTTACGTTCATTGTCACCATTATCACGTGCATCAATGTCCGTATTCGCAAACTCGTCGTCGCCGTCGTCACGATCATCATCATCATCATCATCATCATCATCATCATCATCATCATCATCAGCAACATCGTCATCATCATCATACTCTTCTCTCTCCTCATTCTCCTCCTCCGTCCCGTCATCCTCATCATCATCAGCGTCATCAACATCATCCACATCCGCATCCGCATCCGCACACGCATCATCATCTACATCATCGCCAACAACATCGTGGTCGTCATCAACATCACCAGCATCCTCATCATCAGCATCACCACCATCGTCGTCAGAATCATCAATGCCATCAATATCACTATCACCACCGCCATCGTCATCATCGGACTCGGAATCGGAATCGGAATCCTCGTCGTCATCGTCATCATCAGCGTACGCATCATCATCGACGTATTCATCATCATCATCATCATCATCATCATCAGCAGCATCATCAGCATCATCATCATCATGATTATCAGCATCATCGTTGTCACGATCAGTAGCATCCTCACCATCTTCGAAGCTATCACCGTTCCTCATTGACAACAGTCAACATCGTCGTCATCATCAACATTATCATCATCAGCATCATCATTATCGTCAACACCATCAGCATCGAACTCGCCATCATCACCATCATCATCAACATCATCATCATCATGTGCATCATCACCCGCATCCACAACCGCATAAGCATCATCATCATCGCCGCAATCATCATCATCATCACCATCATCACCAACATCATCAGCGTCATCATCGTCAACATCATCATCACTATCACCAAAACATTCGTCATAATCGGAATCGGAATAAGAATCGGAAGCCTCGTCTTCATCGTCATCATCATCATCATCGTAATCATCATCAGCATCGTCATCATCATCATCGTCGTCATCATCATCGTCGTCGTCACCATCATCGTCATCCGCATCATCTTCATCATCATCATCATCATTGTCATCATCATCATCAACAGCATCACCATCATCAACAACATCAACATCATCATCATCACCACCATCATCATCACAAGCACCACCACCACCATCATCATCACCGTCACCATCAGCATCAACATCATCATCATCATCATCATCATCATCATCGTCATCAACATCGTCATCACCACCACCACTATTACCATTATCATCATCATAACCGTCGTCATCATCATCATAACCTGCATCATCATCATCATCATCATCATCTTCATCATCATCATCATCATCATCATCATCATCATCATCATCATCATCATCATTCATCCACGGCTGTGTCACAATGTCCGGCACTGTACAATTTGCACGTTGAGGCGTGAAAGAGTGACAGGGGCTGTCGGGTGCTGGTACGGCTTAATGAAATCTTCAAAGCCCCACCCCCCTTCGCCACAACGTGGCGCATGCACCGCCACCTGGATGACCCTACGCCTCCTGACGCTCTCTCTAGGGCGTCCAAGACAACCGAGGAAGGCCACCAAGGCCGCCAAGATTGCCCAATGTTGCCTCAAGAGGCATCCAACAGCTCCGAAGAAACGCCAAATGCATCCCAAAAATGCCCCAGGAGCTCCCAATACGCTCTCCTGGAGGCCCTCGAGGAGGAAATAGAACAGGATTCGGCAACGGTACGGGTAGCATCTCGACGGCTTCATCCTCGTGCGATTCCTCGCCCTCCTGTCTCGTCGTGTTCGGTCCCAGGCCCCCCGGATGCGGAAGACGGCGGCCGCCCCGACCAATGCATCTGGCATCCGATCTGCAAGACGCGACTGTTGGGGGCGCACGGGGAGAAGGGGTGGAGGGAGGCAGGGCGGCTCTCTGTTTCCCCAATGGGCAAGCAACCACATCCATCGGAGTAACAAATCCAAGTTCAGCGGGTTCGCCGTCGTGTCGGAGGCGGCCATGAGCAGGTTCCGGTTCAAACTGACTACACTGGGGGGCTGGCACAAGATCTGCTTGACTATGAACTCCTCGATGAGCCCCGACTGCCAGTGCAGCTTCTCGATGAGCTGATTCGTCTGGTTATCGAACTCGTTGTCGAGCTCCTCGACCTGCTCGGCCGCCAGCGAGCCCATCGATGACACTGCACCTGCGTTCTGGACGTACCACATCACGGTCAGGGAGGTTAGCAGGGACATGAGGACAACGAAGAACAGCAGCAGAAGCACCCAGAGCTTCGGCGGGAAGCACCGCTTGTGCCCCTTGCTGATGTGGCGCCAGGACTTCCACTGCGGGTTGTAACTGGGAGGCTTGTGTTATTCCCGCCAGGCCACCCCCCTCCCTCCCTCCCTCCCCCCTCCTCTCTCGTGGGGGGCGTGCGAAGGCGGGGGGCAGGACAGAGGGGGTAGTTCAAAGGAGGAGATCGATGGAGGATGGACAAGGGTAAGGAGGAATAGTTGAGAAGATAGAATATAATAACAATATACAACAAGAGTAACAAAAAAGGGAGCTGGGAACAAGAAGAAGGAAGACCAGGAGAAACGATTATAGAGGGAGAAGCAGGAGGGAAAGAGGGAAGGAGGACTGAGGAGCGAAAAGAAGAGGTCGGAGGGGCGAGGAGGGAGGGAGGTACGAGGAAAGAAAAGAAAGAGAGAGCAAGAAGAGAGGAAGGACGGAATCAGGAAAAGATGGAGGAGAGAGGGAGGAAAACGGAGACGTTCCAGAGGAAAGCGGAGGGATGAACAAGAGAAACGAGGAAGGACGATGCCGACGAGGAGCAAGAAAGAGGGCGAATAATCCCACCAGCCCTCCCGGCGGAAATCGTTTGGGGCACTTCCTCGTCCAACCTCCCTCTGCTCTTTCGGGGAGGGACTTAGAATTGTTCCTAACAAATATACCCCCTCCCCCCACCCGACTGGCGACAAACCCAGGATCACGCGGGCCCCCCCCTGGTCAAGAAGCCCAGCAGAGCACACGCTGCGGCAAAATCTGGACCATGCACGGACGCCACGCGAGCACGCTGCATGGGCCTTGACAGATACGGTGGGGGGGGGCCCTTCTATTGCCCGCTCTGCGCGAGCCTACCGCCCCTGTCGAACAACACATGTCAACTTTGAGGCCAAGTCCGGGGCGTGCGGGGCTCTGCAGTAGCTTTCGACGAGGACGGCGGTGATGCCCAACGTGTCCGCTCAGCGCACCCACCGTGTGAGCGTTTTCTCAGTCAGCGTTTGCGACACTGGCCGGAAGGGGGGTGATGGGGGGGTCCTGACTACGGAGCTCTCTTCTTAAAGCGACAGTTTGCAGCAGCGCGTCCGTCCCATGGGGGAGGGACCCCACCTGCTCGAAGCAGGCGCCAAAAACAGTTTTGATCTACTCCAAAGGGGGGAAAGGGGGGGTGCGAGGGCCCTCGCCGATCGGCAAGACAACGAACAAAAAAACGATCACCATCCCTGTCGACACACGATGCGAAGCACACTGCGTGGAAATCGTTGGTTCGTTCGCGGGCGCCCTGTGGTGGTGTTGCACTGGCTTCTGTGCGAAAGGGGGGCGGGGGGGGCCTTCACATGCATTGCTCCGTGCAGGCCCACGACCCCTGATACAAAACCATCCAAAGTGCAATCTGCGACAACATCTGGATCATGCGCGGGCGTTCCCTGATCACTGCGCGCTGGTTTTTGGCAGGGCCAGCGGCGATACCCTCATGTTGCCTGCTCTGCGCAGGCCCATCCGTTACAACAAAAGCACCGCACATTATAAACTGCAGCAGAATATTGACCATGCGCGGGCGCGTCCGAAACTTCCCATCGAGCATTCAATTTTGAGATTTCCCCTCCCCGCCCGATGATCTTTATCAACCGTCCGACCGCGTTGTCTTCCGACCACGATTGATTGAGGTAGACAGACAAGGGAGTGTTCTTTCTCACGCACCCGTCCAAACCCCAGAATACAAACAACCAGACTGGTCCCTCAATATGTCTGGGCAAACTGCTGAAAGGAAGAACGATGTGTGAGTTGGTGTTGGTGTTTCGGGCTTCACCACAGAGCCGAGCATTCGGAGGGCCGCGCGGGCAGATGAGTGCACATTTGGCAGCTCTTCGAAAACGAAGCAGACGGATAACGCGCACCCGAAAACACGACTGTGAAGCAGAAGCGGCACAAGGAATACGAATACTAAGACTAAAAAGGGAAGAGGAGAAGGGCGGGCCCGAGGGGCACCGCAGCTATACATGCTGAAACAACTGCTGACGGGTGCAGCCCCTTTTGAGGCGCCCGGTCCACATGTTGGGGATGCCGTCGTCATCGCAGGCGGCTGTTCTTACGAGCGGCGGGCATAAAGAGTTCTTGAACTTCCTGTGCGACGCTACCTGCCTAGTTGTACCATGTGTGATGCTGGTTGGGCGGATGCTCTTCGGAGCACCCCCGCGTTGCTGACACAGGACGGAAAAAAAACAAACATCCCCAGCAATCGACGTAAACATGTTCAGCGAAACGCATCTAACCTCGCACGGTCTGCCTTCAAAAACCAAAACGAGTCTAACGCAAACACGAGCTTGCTCAGAACATAACTGCCGTATACGATGTATTGTCGCGTCTTGCCAATAACGTCCGCGTCGTTATTAGGTGTAGCTGTTTGAACGCGTGGTGGGCTTCGCCCAGCCTCCTGTTCAATTCGGTAGACGCCCTCCCACCGCACGACATAAACCCGCCCGACTAAATAGCGTCCTTTACGGCTGTGATGCATTCGCCACTTGGGGTTCGGATTGTCTTGTCTGTGGATATATGTGTTTGTCCCGTCCTCTCCCAAGTGAACGTCAGGTCGTACTTCTTGCCGTCTTCCACAGTTGATCACAGCACATTCTTTAAGTTGGGACCGTGCAGAAAAACACCAACAAAGTCTCATCAGCAAAGAACGAATCTCGCATGATTGCGTAATCTGGCGAGACTACCATACACATCATGCAGATTACACTTTGGACGATGATGGGAAGGTGGGGCGAGGGCGGGCAGCGTTGAACGATCCCTGCTCGTTATTGTCGTTAAGAAAAACGGCCAGCACGAGCCCAGATGGAGAAATACCTTGCTGAGTAAATCGAACGTGCCCTTCCCTCCATACCATTTGGCAGACCAAAGCGTGGAAGATCTTCGCGCATGCAGTCTGGCTTCCATCTACCAAGGGCACTGGCCCAATCTAGCAACAGTAGAATAAAGCCACCGTTATGTGAGAATGGGCCGCGTCGGTCATCCAGCATGTCAAAATTTGTGCGTCGCCAGTGCCACGTCGCGGGCCAAAACAAGACTGTGCATCCTGTACTCGTGTTTCCGCCCCTCCTTGAAGCAACCGGTTGTATAGAATTGACGCCAGAATCTTATACCCAAAAAGCAATAACGATATCGGTCTGTAGTCTGCGCTTCATCGGAAACCAAACTCTTCCAACAATTCTGGGGGGACGTCATCAGGTCCGCCTGCATTGCTTTTCTTCAACATGCGGATCACGTTCTGAAATTCCTTCAGCGTCAACGACCCCATGTCGGATAGAAAGCTTGTCGCCAAGAAGCGAATGAGTGCTTGGCCCGTGATTTGGAAACCTAGATTCCCACAGTGTAGATTCAAAATGATCTGCAATGACGTCCAGTCTTTCCGCTGTGTCTGACATTGTGCCATTTGGGCGTTGTATGCTTGCGTGCTGCACGGTCTCCAGCCTGTGCAAACAACTCACAGCATCCCACCCACCACTCGCCACAAGATACTTCAGCCACGATTCGCGACCCTGCTTCCCAGACTTTCGTATTTCCCTGTGTAGTCACCGTTCGTTGTCGTGGTCCCCATGCTGTCGGTAACCAGAGCGCCGCTGTATCAAATCCAGAGTTCGCTGGCTAGTCCACGGACGTCGGGCTTTGATGTCTCTAGCTGGCAGAGAGGCAGCAGCACGGGAGAAAGAAGTCTGCAGAATTGTGTTTGCAGTGTCCAAATTATCCGAGCAACCATGTTGCTCCAGCGCGGCTTGAGCAAACTGTCCGATGAATTTGTCGCGGAACCGCTTATCGTCCAGCGAAGCTTTGTCGATGGTGCGCATACTCTGACGGTGCTGCGGCTGCGTATGAAGTCGACGTTGATCGTGGCAACGGTGAGGAAATGGCGAGTGTTCAAAGAGGCCTCGCGGGCTGTCCAACAATCCTGGATCGTCGTCAACATGCTTCCGTCGCATATAACACATGGTCGATGTGTGAAAACCGTGCTATCGAGATGATGTGGTCCAGAAGGTTGATTCCGACGTTTCGGCGCGTAGTTTTCATGATGTCTGGGTGGTCGAAGCAAGAATTTGCCACCACCAAGTCATGCGAATTACATGTCTCCATGAGCAACTGTTTATTTGAGATTGCCTCTCTCTTATGTATGGCAGGGTCTTCGACAAGATCGTGAGGCGGAGAATCGAAAACATGTGGCCCGACAGTGTTGTCCCCCCCAGTCCCCAGTCCCACTCGTACAACCCGCTGGATTAAAAAATGGATGTGGTGGGGAGCAAAGAAGACATGGCAGGCCGACCGTTAGGCCACGGGGCCCATGACAATGTTGGATTTCAGGCCGACGTGGGAGTTTTAGCTGCATCTGTCACCTCTTTTGATATTCTAAAGGCCAAGGGGGACCAGCATCTGAAAGAGGCATTCTGCCTGAGACTTCCTCAACAAAAATTCAGATCGGCTCCCAAAGCGATCGAACATTGTGCCAAGCCATGCCGTCTGAAAGTGGGGATTTCGCCTGTGACTTCCTGGGGAAAATTCAGATCGATGTTCATGCCACGTGGGAGTTGCGACTCCGTTCGGGACTTCCTCAACAAGCATCTTCTGGCCTCGTTCGGGGTAGTCACTTTCCCCGGGAGGGCGCACGATTCTAAACAGAACTTCCCGCTGCATTGCTCCACGCCCTGCGGTGCCCTTCCACCGTCCGGTCCATGGAATTGTCTTGGAGTCATCTTGGGGCCGGTCGAAGGGCGGGCCCAGGGGCGGCCCCCTCGCATCGCACCGATCACAGCTTTCAATACAGCGGGCGGTGGTAGCTGCGCGCTGGAATCCCAAAGTGCAGAAGTGGCACTGTGCGTCGTAGCCAATACGTGCTCGGCGCTGTGCTTCAGACGGAACGCATGAACTCAGTGAACTCAGTGGGATCTGGGCCCCAGGCTCGGTTTGGGAGGGCGGGTGGGGCTGAGCGACACGGCTTGCGGCTTGGGGTACCTTTAGGTCGGGCATGTCCCCCAACAGGCGAATTTTGGACGAACAATATCAAAAATAGCCCACATAATTCA